GAAGCCAGAAGGTCTTCATTGAATCAGCCACCAAAGTCCCTGCGTTAAAAAAAAATCCAAAAGCGCGTGAGGTCAGCGTGCATGAAATATTCACCATGTCCTCTATTCCAATGGGATATGAGCGTGTAAACATTGGTGAGACAACTTAATATCCTTCGTCATCATTTATTCTGAGAATAGAACTTTCCCTAGGATTCATCATACTATCGCTAGGTAAACTATATCCACATTAGGTAAAACCTTCATCTCTTTTTGACACCAATGAAGCCAAAAGTTCAAGGTCAATGCCCATTCATGATCCTAATATGAATCTTCCTCACCATCAACCCAAGAAAACCGGTCATCCCAATTAATGTCGTCAGCTCCGATCCAAAACTTGTCTTGGGATGGGAAATGTGACTCCATGAATTCAAGGACGTAATCGTGCCACTCTTGACCTCGATCGTCCATAACGAGGTGAGCCAAACCTTCGCCTTTGCAAGTGCTCTTTGCTTTCACGTTTTGTCCTATCCCCATCGCTCTCAGAAAATGAATTTTCCCCGTGACCATCGCAAATTCGAATTCTTGTGGAGCAATTGTTTCTGCAAGGAAGAAATGAAACATCTTGGATATAGAAGCTCCTAGCTCGTTGACACTATATCTCTGACATTCTTGTTGCGTAAACTATTGTTTAGCTCCTGAAGTCTTAAAAAATTAGTCATTTCTGTCCACAGCATCGACGCGAACACTCGCTTCAACAACGATTGCTTATCCTCATCTCCAAGTTCTTCACTTATTCTTTTTATTTATTTTGTGAACTTTTTTGTTGAGGAGTCAGCATTATTGCTTCATCATTTCATTAATCCATTATTTATATCCCTAAATTTTCTGGAAACATTTCTGGGAAAACGCCATTGTTAAGCGGGGCTTCCCTGAAGATATTATTCAGTAATGTCAGCATTACAAGTTTAAGAACGTATCAAGTCCATCATACCTTCCTGGATTTCACTTCCCAGAAAGACCTTTACTTTGATCATGTTCGACACTACAGGGTGTTAAGAAAGTTGTGTCCCATCCCAATATGCCTATAACCTCAGCAAAAATGTGAAATCAGGAAATTTTTTCATACACAACAAAAGGACAGTTAACTAATTTAGAATCCCTTAATAGTTTTCACTATAGCCTTCCTTGGTGCAAATGACAAGGTTCAGATGACCCATGAAAGCATCGACTGATTTTCGCAAGTCTTCCTGCGGAATTCTCTCCCCATTCTCTGTTCAGGGATAGCTTGAGAGAATCCAAAGAATGGCGTTTTGTAGCTTATTTTTTGCTCTCCAAGATGGACCATATTGGAGCCAAACCGTCGCCTTGGCAAGTTTTCGTTGCAGTTGCGTATTGTCCTTCCTCCATCGCTCTCAGAAAGTGAATCTTCCCTGTGACCATCGCAAATTCGATTTCTTTTGAAGCTCGATTTGCGCTCGATTAAATTTATGCAAACACGCAAAATTATGTTGCCTAGTGCAATACCCGATCACCGCCTTTTGGGTAACGATTTTCATTTTTCAGCTATGAGGTAAACATCCTAAACGGAAAGACAGGGAATTTCAAATGTTTTTTTGGTAATTATACAGGGAAATCAACATTTGATTAAAACGTGGAAGTCAGACATTCTTCGGACGTGTAAGACTGGAGAGGATCCTGGTCAACTGTGTGTCTGGAGTCACCATTCTCCATTCTTCATTTCATTATTCCTTACTTTTAATTGCTTACTTCTTCCTGGGAACTTTTCGGGAAAACGTCATTGCGAAGTGATTCTTCGTTGATGCTCCTGGTCAGTCTTGCCAGCATTACAAGCGTAAGAGCGTATTCAGTTTGTCATCCCACATAGAATAAAATAGGTGGTTTTCTTTTGTACTGTACAGTAAAACACGTATTGATGCCGACAAAAGTTCTCTTAAAGATCTTTCAGCTAGTCATGGTCGGCATTTAATTGACGCTGTCGTTGACGTTGTCGACTTGAGCATCAACATGAGGAAAGGTCGAGCCTGGTTAATAAATTTTATTTTTAAGAGAAGTTCCTAAAATATGGAATTATATCATTTTCCATCCCTTTGACGAAATTGGATGAAAAAACCAGGGATCATGTCTGGAAAATATTTCAAATTAGTTAGTTATGAATTCTTGCTTAATGTTCACATAGACCAGAAAAAAAATCCCTCTAAAAAATATAGTTTGACTTTGTCATCTTGTTCGCGCCTATGTACACAAATATAAATGGGGAAATGCGTTCAGGTTCTCTCCTTCATGGATCCCTTGGACTATGTGTAACCCTTACCCGAAACAGAGATCTTAGATGTTCTATCAGGATCTACAGCAATTGTAGAGTTCTTGGAGAGGAGTTGACAAATGAAGCTGTCCTGAACCTTCTTCAGGGCGAATCCATGGCAGCCGTTTTCCCTGAATGAGGAAAAAATAAAACATATCAATGGAATGTTAACCGGAAAAAAGTGACCACAGATTTTCGAATGCTTGTCGCAGGCGTTTGCACATCTGCACTATTCCCACACCGAGAACTCTCTGGATGAGTTGTTTAAAACGTAGTTTTAAACAACTCATCCAGAGTTGTTTAAAGGGAGTAGGACATGTATTGTAGGATTGTAGGAGAACGGTTTGGGATGCTTACAAGCTGATTCCGATGAAAATTGAATTTTAGCGAATAAGGCAAGAATGCGTGCACCACTTAGTGAATGCCCGAGAATGCCATCACATCCACACTATGCAATATAAGCAAAACTCGCTTGAAATACTAGCTCTGACATGAATAATGACAGTTTGGGATGCTAACCAGAACGTTCCAATGTAAACTAACTTTCAGCGAATATGCGGGGACCTTGCCACCGAGTCTCTCTCGATCTAGCAAGAAGTACTCCATGGAGTAGTACTTCCTTCTATTGTTATACTTCCAGGCCTTCATTTTGAGCCCCAATTTGAACCATGCCTCCTCCACGATTAACAGGAATCTCCTTGGACTTCTTAAATTGTTTTAACAAATGAACTGAAAAATTCGAGTGTCGTCCCTTACGTTGTCTGCGCAAAAAGATCAAGTACCGCATGAAAGATACTGAGGTCTTAAATTAATGAGTCACTCCCTGATCACACTGCAATAGCGGCTACATAGGCGCCATCTCGCATCATCTGTGGGAAAGGACACATTCGTGTTAATGATCTATGCTCAGGTTTCATGGATAAGTTCATTCAAGAAGTTTCCTGTGGGATATCTTTCCCCCCCCCCCCCTTCTCCAAAATTTCTGATTCCCTTGTGATAGTTCCAGTCTAAAATTGAAGGTCGCGATTTTTTAGGTCGCTTTAGAGGTTCACATTATTTTTCCTTGTGAAATTTTGAAAATAGTCTCATGGTCTTTCTTACATTCGCTTTCAAATAAAATTCTGGATTGTGCTGACAGGTTCGGGTTGGGGAAAGGAATTTTTTTTTGCCTAAGTCTCGTTTCGTTGCGCCTTCCCTTCCCCCTCCCCAGTTCTGGCACGAATGAAGAATGGAGAAATCCATGAGTGAGTTTTTGCAGTATGTGTATTTTGCATCTATCTGTGAAGTAGCGTCCAAATCTCGTTTGCACTTTTCGCGCAGTATTCGAAAATCTTATGAAAATTTTTTATTTAAATACGTATTTCCAACTTCAGACCCGAGTTTCTCAGGAACCAAGGGAGATACTTTTTTTTACCGTCGACCTTTAAAGACGACCAAGAAAACGAGTACAAGTACATACGGACAAGTACGAGCACCATTACATGCCAATTGGTCTGTTTCCCCTGACCGAAGATGACTCGACCGATGCCATGTCGGAAAATCATCCAGGATCGACCATGTTTTTCCCTCAATGCCACGTTTTTCCTACGATGCCACGTTTCCCTCGATGCCACCTCAAGCGGCTTTCCCTGAACTAGTGGTCCGCGATTCCGATGAGACCTCAATCGCCTTCCTAGGTGTACGAGTTACCGAATGGCAGGACTTATCCCCCCAGACGACGGGATTCACGCACATTCTCACGCGCATTCTCACACGCATTCTCACACACATTCTCCCTCCACAGCATTCCCCTTCCCCCAGCCTCTCGTGTCAGGACGCGCTTGGCGCTCTCCCTCTCGTCCCCGTCATGAATTTCCTTTCAACATTTCCAGTTTTCCGTGAGTCCCACCACATTTCGTTTGAATGAGACCCATCGTAAATTCGTAAATGTCAAATTGCAGAAGTACATCAGAAAAAAATTTGAGAATGCCTATTGCATCAAGGGACCTTGACCACTGGAGCTCCGAGCTCTTCATCGGATCACTCGGACCACCCAACAAACGGATCGAATTAAGCGATCCCTAATTCGGTCGGAATGTGTCTCACTTGCCCCAGGCTCTCGAGAATTGGAGGATCCAAAGCGACTGAGGAAAAGCACGTTCGCTGGCGTGAGGTCGGGTTCCATCGCTGTGATGGCTTCTTCCCCCTACTTTCCCCCGCTAATTCTTTTGTCTGACGACACAGCTTTCGGTCGCAATTTTTTTTGGAAAATCTTCTATCAATTTCTCAAATTTGACAGGAACTTTCCATATTTCTAACCATTCTATCGGCAGCGCCTTCCCATCCGTTTTCTGGCGGTTAATCCACTATTTAGGATAGCGTCCCAAACTGTTACAGCAAGAAGTTTCTTACTGCGAGGAAGGCGAGGAAATGAGCAGCCATGACCGACGAGCCGGGTGTTGGCCACGGCTTGAGTATAAGGCGGTCCGGATCCCCCGAGCCAGCTCAACACCACCACGTTCTGGTCTCTCGACTTCAGCAGCTCCTCCGTCATTCTCTGCATTTCATCATCTCCTGTTACAACCCTCAAATCAAGCATTCTACGTAGAATGACATAAAGATGAAGGACCAGCAGCCACGGCTTCCGTCCATGCTCCAGGAACCCGTGAGTGAGCAACGCGACTGGAAACCTGGGATCGAACGGGGATCGTTTCAACCTCCTCGTTTCGTTCGTCTTCAAACGCTGAAGGAAAGCGAAGCACGTCAGCGATCTTCGTGAAGATATGACATGAAAGGAGTGACTTGCCACAGAAGATTTCCTTAGCAAATACAGACATTTTTAAAATGTTACCCTTGATTTATTTATATAAATATATAAAAATAAGTAACATGTTCAGAGTCGACCCATTGGGACATTTTCGTGCCCAAAAAAATGCTGCCGAAAACCATCTTCTCACACCTGCAATTCTTGAATGCGAAACACTCTCATTATGACTTCAGCATTAAGCAAAGATGACATTGATTCAATCGTGACACTCCTCCGTTTGATCGAGCGACGAAATTTGGCATCGAAAGATGTCCGCCTGTAGATGCATTCTGTAGATGCGAAAAATGGCATCGGAAAACGCGCGGTAAAGCCACAAGACGCCGAATCTGGAGGATTTCAACAACGTAGTCCTTCGAACCATTCGAGAGAGGGACCAGTGGATCTTCACTGAATTTCGACAAAGACATTCTTCCAAGACCGAGAAAGTGAGAGTTTGGATTAAACGCATTTCGTGGTCAAGCCGCACAGAAAGCGAAAGCGATGAAAAACGGAGAATTTCACGAGTGACTGCATCTTTTTTTTTTTACACCCTTAATGGCAACACGATCGATTTGATCTCTCTTCGAGAGGAAAACAAAGGACAAAGGACCTTACGTAGCAATCTTTGGGATTCCGGCGGGTGTAAAGGCAGAAGACCGGTCGGATGACCGAAGGAGGCTCGGGATGCAGAGCGATTGGCCTCTGAGGGGATGTCCAAGGATATCCCGTGGAGAAGCATCCATACGGGGGATGGCACTTCTCCCGTTTCCGGCTCCCTGCGCGCGAATATCGAATGGGAAGAAATCCGTTGATGGGGAAGAAATGGTGAGTCGGAGGGAACTGGATCGTGGAATTTCCTCTCGTTTTCTTCTGGCTTCTTATGGGAACAAAATTAGAGAACATTGCCCCAGCATATATGTGGATGTGTGAAATTTCGTAACCGTTCGTTTTTAGGCGATACGACAATTCTTATTTAACGAAATAATGTTTTTCCATTTCTCATCCCCAACTCGAGTCCAACTCGGCGAACTCTCATCCCATAAGAAACCGATGCAGGTGGAATTAGAATCTAGATCCCACCTGTTATGACCTGACGCCCAGACCATCGGGTTGCTGCTGTCCTACAGAAAATTTGGTTCAATTCGCGGTCCTTCGCGAGAATCCGATCGCGAGAACTCACGGAAAGGACGGAAGGCGAAATCTCGGGCGAAGTTCTTCCCTAAAGCCCTCTGGGCAATGCTGCATGCCCTGGGATCGAACGAGCCAGGATCGAATGAGCCAGGATCGAGGACATCGCCCAGGGACGAGATCTCCCTTCCCTCGTAGAAGCGTAACAAACGCTGCCACGTGACTTCTTGCATGGCCAGGAGGAAATGCAAGAGCAAACCCGCAAGACTGATCAGCATCCCATCTGGCAGGAAGAAAACGAAGAAAAACAGAGTTTCTTCACGAAATTTCAACCCCCTTCCCCCCCCCCTCCATAATATTTATTTGTAACCAGGTGGACGTCCCTCTTGGCGTAAATCTACCTGTTCGAGGAATGTCTACCTGGCTCAGAATCCTTCTATCCATGTCGTTTAGCCAGGTGGACACAGGCGGACGTTTTGCATGGGGTTATCGCATGCAACAACGGTATCTCCGAGGTCTTTTGCTTCATTTTATATTAGACATTCAAAACTCTACAGCGCAAAGTGGAGTAAGAATCGCGTGGGATCGCAATCCCGAAATATGGGGGGAGAACATCGACAGGGTTTCAGGTGGAATTTAAAGCCTGATTAGTTAATTAATTAATTAATGAGCCCCTGAAGCATTGAAAATTCAGACAGCGGCACTCCCGAGTAAAAAAATCCAGAAGAAGCTACTTCAGCCCGAGTCAAACCAATCGAATTTCCTCCTAAACGCTTAAATATAACGTTGCCTATGCGGAACGTGATGTTCTTGCCTGGTCGGTGAAATTCCTCACTTGCACGCATTCAAATTCTCCTCTCCATTGCTGCTCTCTAGTGGTACTAGTGCCAGTACTACTAGTACTTCTACATCAGAATCGATGCGATGCAGAATCCAACAATGAAAAAACCTTGAACGACTGTCGATTCTTATTCGGACAGCCTAGGCGTATGAAGCCTTGCAAAAACAAGGTCTGCGATTTTGCCAATGCGATGCGAAAAAAAACGCGAACCTTGATCATCCGCAGCGGGTTTTATGCAGCGTCGAAAAGGGCTATTTCCGTAAGTACTCGGTGGTTGCGGACTCAAAGACTTTGGAGAGGAAAAAATAAGTTTGCAAATTTACCAGCCGACGTGTGCGTGCGGGCGTGAGGAATCGAGTACACACGCACAAACAATGCCCTCACGAGGGGCGAATGGCACTTCTCAACGTGAACAAGCAGATGTGTCACCGGTTTCACGGTCTTCCTATTTCTGATGGGAGAGAAATGGAAGAGTAACACGAAGTTGTCCTTAAAAAATAATAATAATAATAAATACAAATTTAAAAAATTTTTTTAAAAGTCTCTTTACCCGCGGAGAATCGTAAAGGCGACCCACCGTCCCATTCAAGACCCCCCAAAGAACCAGACTCGCTCCACCGTTCAGAAAAGAAAAGCCTGGAACAAATTCGAGAAGAATCCTCCTCTTCTTCACGAAGCATACCGGTCGGACCCCGAGAAGAATCACGTCTCCCCAAACGAGAAGGAAAAGAAAGGCCGGGTTTCCCCAATCCGCTGCATCCCATTCCACCCACATCGCAACCGAGACCATTGTTACCCGGCCCCAGTGTGAGAGCGTGAAGGGCACCCTGTGCCACTTCCATGAGAACGTCGCGTCCTTGTACCCCTGCCTCCACTCTCCTGAGTAGGGTGACGAGACACCTTCCCCCCCCCCCCATAAACTCTTGCGATGTTCAAGGCCAATTTCTGACCTCCGCTTTCCTGAAGGCTGCTAACCAGTCAGCATGTCATTGAATCAGCATCAATTGGATGCTCACTGTTTTTCTTCTTTTTT